TTATCCTTACCGAATTTTGATAAGAAGTTCCTGACATACTTTGTCCTTGCAAGACTTTTCAGAAGAGTTAATTTTAAATTATTCTGGACAACGAGTAATTTAACGATTCCGTTTTACTCAGCGAAACTGTAAGAAACTCAATGTTTCACTATAAGACGTTTATGTTTCATAGTGATTTTGAAGTCGTTATGCTCTCGAGAGTGCTCTGTCTTTAGTTGTCGATATACTCACGTCAGAAAAGGAATTCAAAAATCTAAAACTGGTTAATCAGAATGTAATAGTGAGATGATCTTTATTATCTCAGTCCGTAATAGCTCCGTGGATAAGAGCACGGCATGGCATGCTGTAGGCCCTATAGGTTCGAATCCTAGACGGATCGTATGATTTTTTTCAAATTTTTTTTACACAATTCAGATGCACTACTAATGTAGTTTAACTTTTAGAGCATTTTTCAGATCGCTTTACAAAACAGGCCTGTCATAAGAAAGTGATAAGAAGTTCATAAGACCTCTTATCACTTTCTTATGAAATTCTTATGACATTCTTATCAGATTCTTATAAGACTCTTATCAAACTCCATTCACTTTCCTGCGTAATCTTATATAAGAATTTGATAAGAATCAGGTAAGATTCTTACGTGAATCTTATTGGGTACTTATAAGATTCTTAACTGATGCTTATATAAGAATCGACGCCGAGGGGAAATTAAGAGAAAAGTGTGCGAAGTATTTTGAAACGTCTTCGCACTTTACACATGCTTTTTATTGAGGAAATACGACAAACACTCAACTGACCAACTGACTACTACAAAAATAGTTTGAATATTAATAATAGTCAAGCGCTTTAAGTGAAGATCACAGTTTATGTGAAAAAGAATAATGGGGTATAAAAGAAGTCTAGGCAGATGAAATCAACAAAAAGGAATTGCCATATTAAAAGGATGGACAACATAGCCATAAAGATTAGTCATAAGTAAGAAATTTCAAAAACGACTTCGTTTCTATCCTATTACGTTTTGCTGTGGCTTCATGATACAGACAAAATGATTCAAGCGAAATTGGTTGAACACGAACTAAGGGTAAAGATTCTGGTAGATGATGAGTTGTTGAACCGGCGTTGTGCAGCTGTAATATCTTGAAGTTGTCGTTGTTGTATATTTCTAAGTTGATTTGGAGAAAAGCTCGAAGATGATAGTATAGTTGGAACAAACTTCTGCGAGAGGAAGGGACTTATTCTTAGCAATTTTCTTTCACCATAGTATACTTTTATTATACAGGTTAGAGACCTACTTCACAGCAAAGTTATGTGCACTAAAGAAATATCCTGTTTGCTGCGAGAGGATAAAGCATGAAAGCCACAAACTTACGTCAAACGTCCATGAATGCATTATTCGGGAAGAAGAATTGAAGGATACGATAAAATAACGATTTTTCTAACAGAATTCATTGAGTTTTATTTGATTCAGGAAAGGATGACGTTGTAATCAAGAAAATATCCTTTAGAAGTTCTTAAACATTAGTATGGTGAAAAGACTGACAATATTATCAGAAATACCTTAGCACATTTAAACAGCTCGATATGTTGGTTCGAACCTCATAAAAGCTTTTCGAAAATATCCCAGAACGGAAAGTAAGCCTTTTGCCTGCTCTTCTTTCATTATTATATTTTAGGTCAAAATGGAATGTGCATTCCAGAAGAATATTTTCTTGATGGTAAATGTGTGAACACTATGCGATAGCTAATTGACGTGTGATTGATTTTCTTAATTTAGGCGAGTATGATTGCATGGATGGATCGGATGAGAAAGTTCCAAATAGAGGAAACGATTGTTCATTCGAAGAACGGACGTTCGATTGTGACGAACACTTTTGCCATAAAGGCCTTTGGTCTTGTGGTGATGGAGAATGTATCGACAACATGGGTCGTTTTGTTTATGAACCGAGTCTTTCTACTGATGATCCATGTAGAAGTATGAGAGAGTACAATTATCAATGTGAAATGAGTACAGATTATCCACTATGGACACTACCAACTGGTTTATGCTGGCCATTTCCAAATTATATCGATTCAGCATATCGTACAACAAATAATCAAGAATGTTTGTACCTTATTAAATGTGCATTGTCAGGTGGCCTTGAGAGTACATGTCCATGCAGTCACAATCAATGCTTGCATTTAATTAGCAAAACTTGTCCACATACCATTGAATACCCATCAGTGCCATTGATTCGACCCTATATAAAAACCTATTTTGAAGCTGATCGCAACTGGCATAACAAAGAGCCAGATACTTTTCTTGCCAGCGGTTCTATTAAATGTCGTGGATATCAAGCGCACATCTACGTTCGTGAACCCCTGCCTATGATGCCTCAGTATCTGTATACAGCACTCATGCTTGATGACGGAATTTGTGCATTGCTGACTACCGTTCATCGTAACACGTCACATTTAGCATCACCTTATGATTTTACAACAATGGCACAAACATTCAATAACTTGCAGTATCAATTTTTTCAATGTAATCAATCAAAAGTATGCCTGTCGTTACATCGCGTACAAGATGGCCTTTGCGATTGTGGTCCTGCTGAGCTGTGTGACGATGAATATCAAACGTATTTCGATAACCATTCGTGTCAACAATATCGTTTTCGATGTTCGTCGGCCAGGTTTGGGCACTCAAAAAGGTGTTTATACGTGTGGAGTATGGGCGATGGCACAACGGATTGTCTGAACAGTTATGATCATTATGCCTTTGGAGTAAGCGAACTACCGTTAGTGCAGATTACATGTAAACAACGTAATGATATTGGTTGCTCTTTGATAAAAAATTATATTAGACAATCATTGTTATTGGAAACTAATGAGACCATCACAAATACGGAAATTTTCACAATGTTCCATAATCTAACTAATCTATCCCAACAACCGCTAATTCCATTTCGATATTACTGTGATACATTCTGGTATTTAAATGCAGCAGAGGATGAACTATCAAGTTATTGTAAAAAATGGATATGTCCGAAGGAAAAATATCAGTGCTTGTCAGGCCACTGTATTCCGATTACATGGGTGTGTGACGGTAAGTTGTTTTCTCTCAACTGAGCTATTAATGTACTGAGGCTCTTATATGACGTCCTTTTCTGCTCCTCCTTCCGGTGTTTGCATTTTTTCGCTTGGAGCTTCCCTTGCAGTTGCCATTAACATCATTCTAAAACGTTTTTTCAATGCAGGTTGATAAAACCCAGTTTGTTTTTTCTTTGTTCTTGATTATTTACAAGCATGAAGTTTAAAGTTTCCAAAATCGTACATGCAAACATTGCCGAAGCCAAAGGGAATGAATTACTAAAAGTTTTCTCAAAGAGAAGCATTCAGACCAAGTCAGACGTTTGATAAATTTATTCTGACTAACGAATTTCAGAAATGAAACCAGCTTTTGTATAAGGTGCAAAATTGCTGAAGATGTGGATACAAGAAAATAGTAGTGCTTGTTGCGCACGATTAGTTTAACGAAAAACAAAACAGTGCAGGCTATAATTGCAGAATCAGTCCATGGAAACGAACAGACTTTTGAAGTATGGGTCCTTTCACACAGGTTCTCCCACCTTTTACAGCATACTCAGATGGCGTGATCTTACTATGCCAGTTTTCAGAGCATTTTGAGTTTTCTAGAGAACCATATTTTGTTTCTAAAAAAGTCGCGCGGAAAGTTGTGAAAAAAATCACACAATATTCTACTTTAAGCCAAAATCCCCTTAGGTAACCTTCATTTCTAAATCGGTACGGCTATACCCGTACCCCTATCCTGTAATGTCAATTACTTTGTCGAAAATCATCCAATAAAGCTCGAGGATGTCTGATTCGAAAGAGAATTGACTGCTCTATCTTATAAAAGTGTTGAAAAAGAGTTTCGAAAGTTGGATTTCTAGAGATCTTCTAGAGAACTGTTTTTGAAATTTCAAGAAGTTCTCAATTGAACTATTTAAACTTTTTATCATAGGCAGTACTAACTGTATTGTCATCGAGGGCAAAATTTGACGAAGATCTCACATGTAGCTTTCGAGAAAGTCGAGGTCAAGGACGGGAATTTTGATCGGGGCCAACAACATGTGAGCCTAGTAACTGAAATCCAAAAGAGAGAGAGCTGCAGAGTTTGTCTTTCGTCCATTAGATACAACTCACACTTGGCTACCTTTTCACTACAGACAAGTTGATATTTCCTTACTTTTTGACCGTTCTACATCAATTATGAAATCCCAGCAAAAGTCCTTTTTTGGTATATTTTGTAATATTTGCCGCCGAGCCACCTTGCCGTTGGTAAGACGTGACAATTAGTTCTTAAAGACAACTTTCAGAGTTCTGTCGAATGGTCATCTCAGATTCTTAAGAAAAGCTTTCTTTAGCCCAGAAGTGAGAGATCCCGAGTGGGGACTTCTGACAAAACCGACTTTTGTGAACCTGCCCCAACTCGAGATGTAGCCCCATCTAATTCAACGCGGGCTACAATCTGAGCACAGCGAACTTTGCCGGCTTAAAAATTTGGAGTAAATTTGGAAGAACCTGTGTTGAAGCACCCGTATCCCTGTGAACGGACGGCGGTGAAAGGAAAACCTTTTTTGCTTATCTTCTCGTAGGCTTTAGCATGAACATAGTTTCTCGATTAAAGATTACGGCCAGTGATAAAACTTTCGAACTTTGTTCATCATTAAATGTACAGTATACAAATTTTTTGAACTGATTCATCAACATGGACAAACAAGGACGTTTCTGTAGACCTATAATGATTATACGTTGAAATATAGGACCAAAAGCATTTTTACACATACCCGTGCGGAACAGTTAATATTCTGCCATCTTAAGTAGAGATTCGCCTATTTAGATTTTATTTTAAATTTGTCCAGCTTGTAGAGAACATTCGAAATATGTATTTTCAAGTTGTTTCGGCTTACAGATGGCATTTGGTTGGGGCAAAAGTTAATTTTGAAAAACTTTATCTGAATTTTCAAAACAGTTGTTTTTAAATTCTCTAATTCTTTTTTCATCATAGAAACTTGATCCGCGAGTAGATCGGTACAGTAGAGAAGTAGCGGAGTATTTTTACTACGAGAAAATAGAGGAAAGCTATTGTTCTCTCTTTCCTAATTGATAAGATAGTAACAGCAACTACTTTTAGATTCCTATCAATTCTAAAACTTCTACCCTGAACAGATATACTGTCTCTCTTTCCTGTTGAGAACTAATTAGTAGCAACTACCCTTACTCTCTACCTTTCCATAGTCGCACTTATGAAATGACGACTCAACCAGCAAATTCGAACAATGCTTCACCTCATGAAGAATTTCACGTGTTACAACATGTTTTTCTTAGCCAAATAATAGCAGTGGTCACAAAACCGGAATAGACACCTTGAACAAATTTCAGATATTACAAGACCGAAAACTGAAAACATTTGATAATATGTACGAAAAGTGAGTCTCCTTTTTAAGGGGATTTAAAGTTTGGGGGATTTTTTCAGATTTAAAATTGGAGATACCTCAGGTGCCACCTATACGACCAAAACAGATTAAAAAAACAGATTTTCCTTTCTTTTCTAGCTGCATTCGCTCTTTTTTTCTTGATGCAGTTACATAGGAAAAGACGTTGTTTTATTCTCATTTATAAACAAGTCGTTTTCTCCTCATTAAGTGTCAATCATTCAGTCAGCTGCAGTTAACTTTTTAAACGATGAAGTTGGGCACATTTACACGCATCATTCATCTTTACATAGCAGGTTTGTTGGTAAAAACCTTATGGAAGCGTTTCCGAAAGAACATCTAGCGATTCCGCATTCTGTGATCTACCACACTTTGTCTGACGAGGGAAGTACCCCAAGTGATAAATCGCTTTTTCAACGAAACCGAGTGGACTATAGGTAGTCGACGATGCTGATTCCGAATATCACCATGAATGACGCTGCTAGGCCTTCAAAGACCGTTCTTCTGGAAAACCAGTTTTCGAGAAACTCTAAAGAACAACCAAAAGCTTTCTTAATGAGGCATAATTGTAGTCCATAAATTTCTGATCAAAACGAGGCATCTCCCAGCTCTACACGACCTTTCTTTGCAAAGTTATAGAGTTTACAAGAAAAGCCCTAAATGTTCATTGTCACTTCATCGTGATATTCGGAATCAGCATCGTCGACTACCTATAGTCCACTCGGTTTCGTTGAAAAAGCGATTTATCACTTGGGGTACTTCCCTCGTGAGTTTGTCCTCGTTTTTTCACCTTGTATTTCCTTTGCAGATATTCTTTTGTGGATAACTGTTTGTTCTATGTGTATGTGTTCAGGTGTTTGGGACTGTCCAGATGCATCCGACGAACAAGGCTTGTTCATTATCGATACATCTGAACATAATCGAAATTTACCTGATTTAGGCAGTATGATAGATAAATGTCGACAGTATTATAACAATCGAACACAAGCGTTTTCTAATCACTGTAATCTATTAACTGAATATCCATGTTTATTGGCTAATGTCACAGACCCGCTCGACTTAAGAAAAAATCGACCTTGTATTCTTATCGAACAAATAGGTGATGGTCGCAGTGACTGCTATGGTGGACTTGATGAACGAAATGTTTTAAGTCATTGTGAGGCCAACAGAATGATAGGATTCGGCTTTAGATGTGATGACTCGGCATTATGTTTATACTCACCACAAGTGTGCTCATCATTATATCACATGTCACGCTGCCCCAATGGTGCAGACATCCCAATATGTTTTCATAACCAACTATGGATGACAAATAATGTGGTTGGTGCAGTATGTTCAAAACCCACGGATGTTATGTGTTTGAATGATGAATGCATAGAGAATGCTCGTTGTAATGGCATTGTTCAGTGTGAAAACGGTGAAGATGAATATAGATGTAGTTCCGATAAAGATATTAGTAACCAAGTCATATATCGAGGTAGTAAACAAAGTGATCATTATAAAGAAGAAGCAAGTCTTTTATATCTGACGGATTTTCCGCCTCCATCTGCTTCTTTGATAAAACAAAAAAGACTTCCATATAAAAAAATATCTAAGGATACACTGCAATCAACGACTGCAAATGAGCAAGAACATTATCGGGCTGAAGCTTTCTTTTATTGTAACCGTGGGGTATATATTCTTTCGTCAGCAGGAGTACGATGCTTCTGTCCGCCATCATACTATGGAGATAAGTGTCAGTTTTATAGCGATCGCTTGACAGTTATCACTCATTTAGCTCTAACCGACGATAAGTTTCAAACAACATATATTGCGATTAAAGTAGTGGCTCTGTTTCTATTCGATAACAATCAAATTCTTGATTATTATGAGTTTGATGGCCGGGGAAAATTTGAAATGAATGACAAGGAATACCGAAAACACCGATTCCATTTTGTTTATTCAAGAAAGGCCTATTTTCTAAAACATAAACGTGAACGATATTTCAATCGAACATCTATCGCTCAAGAGCATCCATATTCAATTCAATTTGAAGCTTACGAATTAAGATCGCACGACACTATACCGCTCCTCGTTGGCCTTTGGCATTATCCAGTTTATTTCGATTATTTGCCTTCGTATCGTCTATCGAAAATATTGAGATTATCATTGAATTTAACAAACGATGCATGTTCGACAAATGATACTACGTCCATTTGTAAAAACGATAACTCGATGTGTCAGCCTCTGCTTAATGCTAATCATTCATACAAGTGTTTGTGTAAATCTGGTTATTACGGTGAGAACTGTAAATCGTTTGATCAACAATGCTTAGCTTCCTCTTATTGTTCTCCAACTTCCATATGCAAGTCTCGCTTATCGTCAGCTCGTAAACCATTGTGCATATGTCCGTTGAATCATTTTGGACCGACGTGCCATTTGAAATATGATCCCTGTAATCAAGTTCCGTGTTTAAATAATGGTTCGTGTTACAACGTCTATGATCACACACTGCTGCAATCTTACAAATGTGTATGTATAGAACAGTTTTATGGTGATCGATGCGACCGCAAAAAAATGTCAGTTAAAATCCAACTAATCACAAATTCAACTCTAACACATGGGATACTCGCTAGTGTTATACAATATTACGATATCAATTATGTCACGTTCGAGTTAGTTTCTAAATATCAAGAAGTGTATTTGTCATTGCCATCGAGTTTTGAGTTCTATCACGGTCAAATCACAGCACCAGTACTTTGTGTTTTAAAAATCTACGAAAAAGCTGATCTGCATAATTATCGTTCTACTTATTACATTTTATATATTCAAAAAAATCAAACAATCATCAATATTAAAACACAACTCACAACCAATCGTTGTCCTCATACAGAATCATTATTAGATATGGCAGAAAGCGCTGGTAAGCCTTGAAAAAGATTCACTATCATTTCTAAAAGAGAAGATGGACGCTTATTTTCGATAAGCATTTCACGCACATCCGGAGAGGTTATGCTTGTGAATTACCTTATTGTGCTATCAAGGTCTGCGTATTTATAATGATTATAAATCATGTCATCGGCTAGGTACTTGTGGTCTATTGTGTTCGATATGGCGTCGACATAGAAGTGGTGTATGATTCTAACAAATCTGCTGTTAAGGTTCATCGAAAGAACAGCTAACTGTCATTTAGATAAATCAGACTTTCCTAGAAACTGATATGCTTTATTTCGGTCTAGTGTTCTTGTCAGCGTGACCAACATGCTTTTTGTCGTTTTCATGATCTCAAGATTTGCTGGATAAAGACCAGGATCGGTACTGATAGGTAGACCAATTGTCTGTCGAATTATAATCGTTTCTGGAATAAAGCAGCTGTTTTCGACTAAAAATTTGATAAACTGACCAAAAGCGTCTCTACTAGCAATTGTAAGGGTTCATTTTAGTTTTTATGAACACTAAAAGCACTTTGATATATGGCAAATCAAATATCTGACAAAATAACGGTATTCTTTGATAAACAGGTCTTCCTTTCTATCAATTTTATACTCTCAATTAAAAAGTCGTAAGGAATAGTAGTGCAAACTGTTGAAAATTTTTTATGAAATTTCGGAATCCAGTACGTAAAGGTAATGTTTCACATTATCTTTTATGCTAAAATAATATTCATTATATCATATGATGAATATCATTTTAGCATAAAATGAATATGAATCTTTCCATATGATTCATATGGAAAGTGGCGTCCACAACTTTCAGTACTTTTTGTTTCTATACACTTCATGCGTGTCTGAAGGAATATGATATCCAATTGTCGTTTAACAGTCTCTCCTTACATATTGCCAGAACTTTCTGCTTGCTGCATCTACTGGAGCAATCACATTTTTATCATGTATACCTTTAAGTGCTTCTAAAACATCAGCGTGAAAAACGCCTAACTCTGCTACCGGAGTGTCTGTGCGTTACCGTTTTTTCTCTTTTCGTCTATCCTATAATATTTGGAAGGAATATCGTAGAATCCTGGAAAGCGTCTTGTTTTGTAGAATGAAGT